TGGTTCGGATAGTGTTTCAGATTTTGACATTAGCTCACAATATAGTGTAGATGCCTAAAAAACACAATTATTTAGAAGCGAAAAAAGTATTGTTGGATATCAAAAATGCCTTGCAGTCAATCACATGTGGAATATATTCATAAATTATGTGTGAAAAAAAAAAATAAGTCATACGCTGTATACTATATAGCTACGACTTACGAATAATTAAAATACCGAAATATTAACTCGCGAAAGTTTAATTTTGTATTAAAATATTTATATATTTAAAAAAAATCTTATTACGATACACAAACTTACATACTTGCGAATTATTTTCTAATGATACAGTTCACTTTCTGTGCAATAACTTAATTGTGGGTACTGTTAGAGTTTATATATTATATTCCTTTTGATCTTATTCTGAGCTTAACATTATTATTACTTTTTTCTTAATTTCAATGGCTCGTAAATATGTATGTATAAACAAATTTCTATTGTAAGTATGTATATGCCGACTAAGTTTCTTTAATGACCCATATTTTATCAACTTAAACATTTAAAAGTATTTTTCACAGTTATTTAATTTTATTTATATACTAAGTTATAAATGATATGAATTGAAAATTATAGGTGTATTAAAGACGTTCGAAATCTGTTAAAGGCCACAAAAAGAAAATTGCAATATTGTTTGTTTAAGGAGAAATGTGATAATATATTGAAAATGTAATAAATGTATTTTATTTGTAAAATTGGCTTTAAACGTTTACAAATAAATGTCTGGCTATAATAAATTTTGTGTAATTGCAGCTATTACGGTATTATACTCATATATAAACAAAATTTTTTGTTCTATTTATATATTGTAAATATGTATTCATAGGTGTATGTTCAACGTACATACGTAAGTTTATTTGCAATACATTAATATACGAGAACTTTAAATATAACACTAATTAAAAAGGTTTGTTTTTATTTAAACATAAATTTGGTGGTAAGTTCGAGGAAAATAAGAAAAAGTGTTAGCTGCAGTTTCATCGAACCCTTCACAAATAAGTAGCTTTCCGAATAAGAACTTCATTTTGATCATTCAGTTATATGCTATAGTGGTCCGATATCGGCGGTTCTGGCAAATGTGCAGCTTTTTGTGGAGAAAAGAACGTTTCATTACAGTTCGATATCTTAAAAACCGAGGGACTAATTCGCGTATATACAGACCGACAGGCAGACGGGTGTTCCTTCTGGGCATTAGAAACTTCTTGACAAACTTAATACACTCTGTTCAGGGGATATATATCTATTGATAAACTATTTGAGAATATTTGTAAGAATTGTAATTTTACTAGTAAAATCCCTTACATAACCACACGAATCTCAATGTTTTCGAAATTATTAATTACTTAATCGAATTGATATGATTTTGATGTCGTCATAAGGTTTATCCGTTTTAGGATTTGCTTTTGCATTGCAAATATTTTGTACAACTTCCATACCACGAAATACCCGACCAAACACCGTATGTTTGTTATCTAGCCATGGCTAAAATTTAAATAAATTATATTAATCATTTACTAAACAATTTAAAACAAATGTGTAAATTACCGTCGGTAAAACTGTGATAAAGAACTGACTGCCATTGGTGTTGGGGCCAGCATTTGCCATACTAACAGTATAAGGACGATCGTGTTTGAGACTTGGTACGAACTCATCTTTGAAATCATGCCCCCATATTGATTTGCCTCCAGTTCCTGTGCCTGTAGGATCCCCCGTTTGCACCATGAAGCCTTTTATAACACGATGAAAGATGTGACCATTAAAGTAGCTGAAAGAAGTATTGTTTCAGTGAGCTTAAAGCAAATATCTATTGAATAATTTACCCATTTTTGGAATGAACACAAAAATTCTCAACAGTCTTAGGGCATTCCTTAAAGAATAGTTTCATATGTATATCGCCCACTGTTGTGTGCAAAATAGCGTTTTCGTAAACACGTTGTGTACCTTAATAAAGGGATTAAAATATGTTTGTTAATATTTTTTTTAAGAAAACTAATTCAAATGAACCTTCATCTGCATTACAGATCGACAGTTTAGCGTGAAAGTTTTAAAACATGAGACATTTAGAATTTATTTTATATACAACACATGCGCAATGATTTGTAATATTTACCTTGTCCTTCTGGCACTGCAATAATATCTTCTTTCGATGGTTTTTCATTAAATACGTCACGATCAACATCTTGTAAATCGGATGGCAATCGACGACTGTATAGATAAAAGCGCGATTTTCTGAAACAAAACAGCAAATATAATTTCTTGCAATTGCATTTATAAATATCATATAATATTTACTTATATGCTGCGCAAAACATAGTAGGATCATTGGCTATTGATTGCAAGGTAGGATTATCGCTAGCCTCCTGTTCCATAGTTATAGCTGCTTTAGATTTTTTCGCCTTACCCTAAATAATTGAGTATTTGTAACAAAAGTATAATAATAATATTGTAATTAAGTACCTGGAATAAAGCTATATGTAATGGACGTATATTATCTGTTTTCCCTAAAATAGAAACACATCTATTTGTGTCAATGTTAATTACTTTAATGCCTAACATGGTGGGATACATTATAAAATGTCCACTGACATCGAAGAGTATATTGTTGTTTGTACTAAACTCAGACTTATCCAAATCCCTTTCCACAGCCATCCTAATTTAAAACGCAATAATAATTTACTTTAGCTTAAATTAACAACTCAAGTTTACATCCAATGACCTACCTTCTACCAAACTCCATATTAGGTAATGCATGCGGTGTTTGCTGCATTTGTGTATATGTAGTCAATGCTTCATCTAATACACGTATTAATTTGCCGGTGTTAAATTGGAACACTCTTACTTTTCGATCATTTGATATAGTAGCGAATCGGCGACCTTCTGGCGATACCGCAAGACCAGTGACTAAGGCTTTGTTTTTCGCAAACTCGAATAAGCCTAAAGAGGGACAATTCCATTAAATTATTTATATACATTATATTATTTAATTATTTACTTGTGTCTAGCTTCGACTCGAACGCTACAAGTTTTTGTGGAAATTTATAGTCATGTTTAGAGTTTTGCCAATACTCTAGTATACCATTTTTGTCAACCGATATTACAGTTTCAAACGGCAAGTTGTAACACATTGCCACTACAGGTGAAGAGTGCAGCTTTTCCAGAATTTTTAACACGTCGCCATTACCTTGGCCATCATATATAACGATCTTGTTGCTATCTTTATCTGAACTGAAAATTTAAAATCCATTTCGATTATTACATTTATATATTACGTTTTTTCTTATACATACACTGCCAAAGTATGAACGGCATCACCGGAGGAATGTATCCATTCTGTGCATAGTGGGGTAAAACCCAACTTAATTATATTTATCATATCGAAATTTACCACATCGAATATTTTTGCACATTTGTCTGCAGAAGCTGAGCACAGCAGTGTACCACTTGCGTTGGTTGTTAAGGAGTGTATTGGCACTTTAAGGATATACGATCATACATGAGTAGTTTTAATAATAATTGAACTATAATAAATATTCATTCTTACTCAAGTGACTTCGAAAATGTTTTACGAATTCGATACCCTCCTCCATTTTTTTCCAAAATTTTATGTGCCCATCATAGCTGCCAGTGACTATGAACTCTGTCTTGGTGCTCACCACGTGTGTTATTATATCGCGGTGCATATAACTTTTTTCATAGCTCTCAGCATTGGGAAGGTTCTCCAAATACACTTTTTCATATGGTAAAACCTTGCGTTTCTTCGGCTTCGATGCAGCTGATTGCTCTTCTGGCATAGGGCCAATCCAAGCATCATCATCATCATCATTGTCATCATTGGCCACGACAATATCTTTGGGTTCATTTTTTTCACGTTCTTCAGAGGCGTTACGTTTCCTATCACCTGTGGCTGACATTTCGAAAAAATACTTATGTGATGCCAAATTATAATTATTTTAATTAACTAAAAAATAAATACTTTTGTCTAGCAATCACTTTTCTATGTCCAACTGACATCAAAACTTGCTAAATTGAGCATGAAAACAGCTGTTGAAAAAATACCCCCAACAAGTATTTGGTTTTTTTTTTTATTTTGTCTAAGGCAAATAAGAGAACTCTAATAATTAATATTGTTTACAACTTCAAAAGAGAAAAACATTGCATGAATATTTATTTGTTCATTTTCGTTTGGGAAACTTTTATGGATGCAAATTATATGATACATCACTGAACACACCGTATAAATGCATCACAAAAAGGAAGTGGGAATCAAAACAACGAATTAGAGAACACTAATAAAACGCTAATAAATATTATAATTGGAGAAGGAAGTGTGCAGACGCGAAAAAGGAAAGAATTGAAGAAAACACAGAAAAAAGTGCGAAAAAGTAATTTGTCGGTGTGTTGTAAAAAAATTGAAGTGAAATTATTTGCAGTACAGAAAGAAATGAGTGCAATGGCGGATGGGAACAATGAATCGAGTGGCGAAAGTGTTAGCGGCAGTGCCGGCAGCATTACAATTACAGCACCAGCGGAGCACCCTATTCGAATCAATAAATGGCGCGTTCGCGAAGGCTTCCCTATAACATCGTCCCAAGTTATTTTATTATACGAAATCATTAGTGGCGGTAATGATGCAGAAGGATCATCTGCTAAAATGTTAGCATCTTCAGTTGTAGCTTCAATCGATAAAACATTACACAAATTAAAAGCGAATCGTGTAGGCGTGGTAAAGAAGCGTTTGTTTAAGGAAGGACAATTGGTACCGCAGGGGTAGGTGTGAATATTACAGTGTTTATTCAATAAAAGAGTAATCAAATGTTGATTTCAGTATAAGCACTGAGAGCTAGGTAATATATTGACAAACACAAGAATGAACTTGTCAATAACGCATTATTAGTGCATTAACATTATTTTCTTATATTAAATTTATTGTGAAAATAATCGTTTGAAGAAACACGAGTATAAAGCGAGTTTATTATAATTAAGGATTAATTTGTTCTCCGTTACAGAGCTACGATTTTGGAGTTGGCCGAATGCGCCCATACGACAGTGATAAAAGACATGTGTGCTGATTGCGGTGCGGATTTGCGCCAAAATGAAAATGTGAGTATACGATTATAAATGAATTCAGTAGGTGATGGAAATGAAAAATAGAAAAGGTTTTGCATTTAAGATGAATTGGGTGGAAATAATGAAGAAAGTGAAAACATTAAAAAGAAATAAGCGACAGATAAACAAAACAAAGTTTTATGCGCGTGCATTCTGTGGTGCCGGGCCGTGTGATAAGTAAACAGGCTTGCCATGCTACTTTACATCAAAGAAAGTTGATATCAGGGTTGAAAAAATGTTATATAAGAGCATTCAATATAAATTTGGTGCATATATATGTACTTATCTTATGCATGCATAGTAGAATCATTCAGACCTGTTCTTATATATTTGTATGCATATACATATGCATATAAGGGAATTTTATTATTATTATTTATTTTTATTTTTTTTGTTTATTCTACCGACTGAGTGACTTCCACTGAGTAGGTCGGGGGTTGCTATCGCGGTTCCGGTAATGTACATATAGTAGAATTTAAACATATAAATATTTATGTATGCATTTTTTCAATTAATATTATCCTATTATTCTTTTTTCAAATAGGGAAACATATCGGAAGCATCTGTACCAATGGTACATTCTGTTCCTGATCTTAAAGTTACACAAAAATTAGCACAAAAATTGGGACACGATGATACTCGTCGTTTACTTCAAGACCGGAAACTTGTGCTCCTAGTCGATTTAGATCAAACTGTCATACACACAACTAACGATAATGTACCGATCAATATTAAATGTATTTATCATTTTCAACTTTACGGACCACACTCTCCTTGGTACCATACTCGCCTACGTCCTGGTACGCAGCTTTTTCTTGATCGCATGTCAAAGTTCTACGAGCTACATATCTGTACTTTTGGCGCGCGCAATTATGCACATATGATTGCCCAATTACTTGATCCAGAAGGCAAATATTTTTCGCACCGTATACTTTCGCGTGACGAATGTTTCAATGCAACAAGTAAAACTGATAATTTAAAGTAAGTTAAATATAGTTCCCATATGATATTGGAGTTAAATATAGTGCTTGCATCTCGTAATTTAAAGGGCACTTTTTCCAAATGGTGATTCCATGGTTTGTATAATTGACGATCGGGAAGATGTATGGAATATGGCATCCAATTTGATTCAAGTGAAACCCTATCACTTTTTTCAACATACAGGCGATATAAATGCGCCGCCCGGCTTATCTAAACATGAATTGGATGGGGAGGGCCTAGATTTCAAAGGTTTGTAAGCATAGTTACCTTTAACATTATAGAAAATAATCAGTATTTAATTTTAGATCTAACACAACAAACGCTTAAAACTGATGAACTAAACAAGATTGATACAATAGAGGCTGATATTAAAGAAAAATTACCCGATTCAGAGTCTTCCGATGGCATCTCAGAGCGATCGGAAACAGATACAGAAAGTAAAAAGGATGAAACCATTGTAGATGTTGTTAAAAATGATCCTCAAACCATTACTGAAGCCGCTAAATTAGCACACGTTAAAACGCCGGTAATCACAGAAGTCACCGAAAAGATAAATTCTAGTGTTGTCACAAATGCAAGTGATGATATCGCACCTATTGCCGATGAAATATACGAAAACAAATTAGGCAATAAAGAAGGATCTCCGATGGAAACTGAAACGGAGGCCACACCTAAGATAAAATTGCCTGCGGATCCGCATCAACAAATTGAAATCGATGATCCCGATGATTACCTTATGTATTTGGAAGAAATTTTAAAAAATATTCATACAAGATTTTATGCTATTTATGATGAGACGCAGGAAATACCAGATTTAAAGATTATTGTACCCAAAATTCGGTCGGAAGTACTTCGTGGAAAGACTTTAGTGTTTTCAGGCTTAGTACCCACTAATATGCAATTAGAGCAGTCACGTGCTTACTTTATTGCGAAAAGTTTGGGTGCCAATGTTTCACAAAGTATTGGGCTAGGTACCCAAAAAACTAAATATTTATATATTTGCGTTGTTTTAAATTTTTTCCTTTGACTACAGAAACTACACATCTTGTCGCTGTCAATGCTGGTACATTCAAAGTGAATGCTGCGAAAAAGAATCCAAACATTAAGGTGGTTAATGCAAATTGGTTATGGACATGTGCTGAACGTTGGGAGCTTGTTGATGAGAGATTGTTTCCTTTGGATCGTAAAACAAAAAATAGACAACGAAAACCGCCAGCACATTGCCATAGCCCAGAACATGTTGTTAACTATAGCGACAAGTCGGAGATATCACCGTCGAGTAGCGCACAACAACAACAGGCTAAAGCACCTGAAAAATTCATAGACACAATCAATCCACTTTTGTCATTTTCAAATGCTGATTTGGCGGCCATGAATAAGGAGTTCGATCAGTTTTTTGAATCGGATTCATCCAGTGAGGATGAGCATATTAACATAGGTAGAAAAACAAACAAATAATAATATGTAAAGTGTATACTTATAAAAGCTTGTCTTGTATAGAGAATCCGCCAGTTGACAAAACTTTGCGTAAACGGAGACGTGAAGAAAAGGAGCAGGATCGTACAAGAGAATTCTTTACACGCGCATCGGATATTATTATAGGTTCTGCAACAAACGAAGACGCTGATAAAAGCTCAGACGGCGAGGACAATGATGATGATGATGAGTCCCCCAGCACAAAGTTTCGACGCGGTAAACGCAAACTTTTGTCAAATTAATTTAATTGATTTTTTTTATTAAAAATTTTATTCATTGATAGGTGAGAAATTACCATCCGATTTGGAAATGGGTTCTGATTCAGACGATGGCAGTCATGGTAACGAGGATAGTGGAGATGACGGCGAGTGGAATATGATGGGTGCTGCGCTAGAGCGTGAATTTCTTGGACTTGATGATTAGCTTGTATTGTTTAAATTAAGACTAATTTATTTAAACTTTTTCACTCTTTGAACCCTTAGCCAGTTTTTAATTTGATCCTACTTTTCACATGTAGTCAGTACGCTTCTAAAGCTTTTAAATTGTAAAGAGTTATGCACATTTGTATAGGTATACATTTGCAGGCATCAACTGTTGTAAATTAAACTGAATGCAGTTTTAAATGAATAAATATTAAGGCGAAGTCGCAAAACAATTTTATTTTAAGCTATTTTAATTCCTTATGCAATAAAACACAAAAATAGATTGTATAACTTACTGTTATTTATTTACGTGGGATATTTCTATTACATTTTTTGCGTTACGCCGCGATTTTGTTTGAAGCGACTTATTCGTTTTTTGGGAGTATGCGCATCAATGTACTTACATTCCGGAAGAGGTTCTGGTTCAGTTAAAGGCTTTTCAATAACTTCGTTCATTACCTAAAATAAAAAAGAAGAAAGATCGTTAACTTCGGTTGCACCATAACTATAATACCTTTTATAAATACAAAAGATTTCATACAAGAACTTGATTTTGATCGGTCAGATTGTAGAATAGAATAGAATTTGTATGAGGTTTTCACCGCGACACAGGGTCTGTTGTGCCCTCTCCTCCATCACATGTATTCCCAAAGGCCCAGCACTCTGATAAATTCTAGAAACTTGCTGGGCGCTATTGAGGTAATGTCATCCCTGTCCCTGGTCAGATTGTATGGCAGCACATCTATGCTAAAGTGGTCCGATCTGAACAATTTCTTCGAAGATTGTTACGTAGGCTGGGGTTTTGATCGATCAGTTTGTAAAGAAAGCTATATGGTATAGTGGTCCGACATTGGCGGTTCTGACAAATAACAGGTTCTAGGGGAGAATTGCATAGTTTCAGATCGATATCTCATAAGCTGAGGGACTAGATCGAGTATATACAGAAAGACGAACAAGGCTAAATTGACTCAGCTCACCATACTGATCATTTACATGTATATTTTATTTATAGGGTCTGGATGTTACAAACTTTGTGGCAAACTAAATATAGCCTGTTCAGGGTATAAACATGTTTTATTGGTTGTACACAGATTTTAATCAGACATATAACTCAACATTAACAAACCTTGTAATAAGCACTCATGTATTCCTCTTCATCAACTGGAATTGCTGTCTTTTTTTTCGATTCTTTTTTATTACATTTGGCTCTGTTTTTACGATCCAATTTATGTTGCTCTCTTTCAACAGCAGATTTATTTCTTAAAATTGACTTGGTATCTGTAGCAGGTTTACAGAACTGAAATGGTTAATAAAATTTACTATATGACATATTTAGTATTTTATAATAAAAGTTAAAAACAACCTCCATGCGTTGATCCTCGTATGAATTGAACCGATCTGCTTCTTTTAATAGTGGTACTTTAACTTTATCCTCACCGTTATAAGCGTTTGCGAAAATTATCTGCTGTGTATTAGATTTGTTTTTATCCTCTCTTTGTTTTTCTTTATTTTTTAGATATGCTTGATATATGCCGGCGGGTGTTTCAGGAAAACCTGTGATTTCAGAATTTTCACTATTTAATATTGTTTCCTTTTGCAAGTTATCAGAATGCTGAAAATGTATATGCAAGGTATGAACACCAACTAAAGAGGGTTCTAATATTTTATCAACCAATTGAAAATCTTGAGTGCTCTGATTTTCTGCTATAAACTTTATGTTTTGTTCCACTCTATCAATAATATTTTTTTTACGATCGTCTATTTTTGTATCAGCTATAGTTTTAGCAATATTAGGATTTAATTCATAGGTATCAAGCTTAATAATTTCCTTTTCCTTCGGTTCCGATTTGGGTAACATTTGCGAAATAGTCTCGTTTTTGCGAAACTCAATTGTCTCGTTTTGTAAGGCAAACGAAATTCGCCGTTTGGTTGGTTTTTCTTCTTTAGTTTCTACTTCTGTAATTGACTTTTCTTCTTGCTCTGAATCTCCTTCTTTGGAAATGTGATCCTCTGCTTGATATTCAGCATTATCCTCAGCCATTTCAAGTAATTCTTCTAATATTTCTAAAACATTTAAAGTATTCACCTTTTGATCGATATCCGCTTGAGTCTTCAGTGGTAATGTTAAAAGTTTGTGACGCATAATTTTAATTTGGTATTCATAAAAACCGATCTGATCTAAGACAGGCAAAAATTTTGCCTGCTCTTTGATAATTTGTACCTCACGAGGTAGTTCTTCAAAATCAACATCCAAATCTTCGGTATTTATGTTGTTTGACTCGATCATCTCTGGATTTGGTCGATGATTATTATTTGTTCGGACTATATTCATTTCTAAATCGGTCTTCTTTACAATCCGCTGAACTTCTTTTTCAACATTATTGTCAGATTTTTCGCAATTTGCTTGTGTTTCGGTTTGATTTTGAATTTTCGCCGAGTGAGCTACACGTGGTTTTTCAGTTGGTAACTTCATTTCTCCGATCATTAACTTCTTCATCGTGTCATTACTGATATCATCTATTTCTAATCTTTCCAATTCATTCTCCAATTCCTCCATTAGTTCAGCTTCTTCAAGCATTTCAAAAACGTTTATGTCGGACGAATCTTTTATTTTATTCGCATTTGGAGCTTTTGAACTATTCGCTTGTCTATCTGCCTTTTCTCGCTCTTTAGCTTGCTTTACGCGTACCTTATGTTGTTCTCGCCATATCATTTCTTTTTCCTCATCATAATTTTCAATTATTTCAGAATTTCCTTTGCTTGGAAACACTCCTTCGGTATATGGTTTATCCAATTTATTTCTGAAATGAAACGTGCACAATAAAATTAAAGAACAAAATTAATAACATATTCAACGTACTTCCATAAATCTGATTCAGTTTGCAATTTTTCCAAGTTTTCCTGTGCCATTTTAATCCGGTATTCACAAATTTCTTTTGCCTTATGTGCGGAACATTTGGAGAAATAGTTTTGATAGTGGCCTACAAGCACTTCATTTGTATGGATAAGCTGACCTGGCATATATGCCTTACGCCCTATTGGTACCATAACATCTACAGTGAGACTTTTACTAAATCGATCTAGGTTTTCAACTGCTGTGCCATTGTCGTCTTGATAATTCTTCCAGCGTGTTGTTTCTTCCTTATTCTTAGATAGTGCCTAAACATATTCTTAATCACGTTAATTTTATTACACACATAAAAACTCGTTCAAAATGTTACCTCCAATAATGCTTTTTGACGCTTTTCCATAATTTTTTTTGTAGAATTAGTACTAGTAACACTACACGTTGCAAACATTTGGCTTTTTAAACTGTACAAAACAGCTAACAACAAACAAGCAGCTGTAAAGCAAACACCGACAGCAAAGCTCAGCTGATTGCTTGACCATATCGGTTTTTTGACATTTGCCCATGGGAAGATTTTGGATTCATATTTAAAAGATTATTAAAATCTCTATTTCATAGTTAATCGAATGTTACCAGGATAGTACTATATTTAATCATAAATTAATTAACTATTTTTTGTGCAAAAATTATTTTATTGGTAAATTTCTTAAAATGTTGCAAACAAATTAAAAGTACAACCAAAGTTTATAACAATTAAAAGTAAAATAATTAAAAACACTTCATTTCTTGTGCTTCTCTAGTTCTGCCAGCAGCTCGTCAGCCTCTTCTGCAGTTTTAACGCGTAGCAGCATCGATGTTGCCTTCTCGACATCTGGCGTAGGAAGACATACCATCATCACGTTGTTTTTACCCATCCGTTGAGTAGGTATGCCGGCGCTTAATATTAAGTTCACAAGAATGTTTCCTAGATTTGTATCGGCGCGAACAAGTAGTTGTGTCTTTTCAGAGTCTTTTACTGGTTTCAAGTATAATGTGCCCACACCACGATCGGTAAACGCTCCGTCTTTTTTAACGAAAACTTTGCATTTCTTGGAATACACCGCATCTTCCTCCACTACCTATTTCGGATTGAATAGGATTATAAATATATGTTATTGATATATTATCATAGTTAAAACCTGTTTAAATTCCACTTTTGGTGGTTGATCTTCTTCGTCATCCGCCCCATTAGCATCGGTAGAGGTTGAAGGAGTTGGGTCAGCAGGTGGTTTTATATTACCGAAACTGAATGGGGTAGAGCCAGGAGTAAAACTAAATGAGGGCGTTTTCTTTTCGCTCGAATCACCGTTGGTTGCCGGCTTGCCGAATGTAAATGGTGATGTTGAAGTTGATGGTTTGTTATCTGTTTTAAGACCAAAGCTAAATCCCTTAGAGGAAGACGAAGTTTGACCGTCTGTTGCATTATTTTTGTTTTCTGCAGGTTTTATTCCGAAACTAAATGTGCTCGGTTTGGCTGTTTCTGCTGGTTTAGATACGCTAGTAAAAATGCTCGAAGAACTTGTAGGAGCAACTGCGGATGATGCTGGTGTTGAACTAAACGAAAACAAAGCACTCGTACCACTGGTCGAAGTAGTGCTTGTACAAGGTTTAGAGAATGCGGAAAATTTAAAATTGCCAAGTGTTGATGTCTCTGTAGGTGCATCTGATGAAGCCTTTTTAACACTTGTGATGTCAGTACTGGCTTTCAATTCCTCCGTCTTTTGCTCTTCTTCTTCTATTTCCTTGGTATATTTATCATAGTCTTTGAAAATCGGTGTAAGAATACAAAGTGGATTTTTTTCTACGTGAGTTTTTATCCATTCGGTTACAGCCTCGTTTAAGCATTTGATTTTGCTTTGATAGCTAGTAGATATACCCTTGCTCTCCTTAGCATTTTCTTTAACTACTTTACCATTTCCGGTAGAAGTTTTGTCTTCTTTTTCAGTAATTGGATCCGTTTTAACAGCTGTACCAAACGAAAATGATGGCTTTGTTGTGGCTGTGCTAGAAACATCAGCAGATGACGCAGAGACTTTCGACAAAAATGAGAAAGGAGATCCTGATGGAGTAGCATTCGAAGACTTGCCAAAACCTATAAAACTCAATTTTATTTATTATTTTTGGTTATATACATGAAACCGTCTAATTACCAGCGAAACCACTAAAAACGCTTTTTGGCGCTCCGTCATCGGTAGCGTCTACACCGCTGTTGCCGGTAACGACCTTCCTACGCGCCTTCTTAATAACGCGATTTTTTAATTCATCTTCCGAAGCTTTGCGAAACGTTCCGCGCTCTTCAGGTTCATCTTCCTGGTCCCAATTTTCATGATTTAAGTTAGATGTTGCCTGTCTTTTTCCAGCCATGATATAAATAAATTAATTTTAATTATTTATATTGCTCGTGGATAGCAAAAGTCAATGGTGTGTTTTATACTGCACTGTTGCATTAGTAAATACTATGACACCAGCAATGAACGATATCTAATCGATTATTAATAAATTAAATAAATAAATTCAGAATATCTAAATGAGCTTGGATCTCACTATTTTCGTTGGTTCTACTTCCATTTATATAAAATCTAATTAGTTTATTTAAGAGTTATTTATAAGAGTATATAAATGTAATTTTCCAAAGCTTATCTACAAAAGTACGCATATATTACTGGTTTGAGTTACGCATTTTGTTATCTAGTCAAGTAAATGAATTGCATTAAAATTAGGAAATGTTTGTTCTCTTTTGTAAAATTGTATGAATCGAAATAATTCAACAAGAATGAAAATATTTCTATCCAACAGTGTGGTCTATACGTTACTTCGATTGCATTGAATATACAATTGGTATTAATCGAAAATTTGCCATCTTTTTCTTGTAGTTTCCTTTTTATTAATTTTTGTAAGTTTCGTCCATTCTATCTCAGCTATTGTGTTCGTCAGTGAAGTGGTCGAACAAATAATATATTTCATCAAAAAACTGCAAATGATGCTTAAAAATATATAATTTGTTGTTAAATTATAAAGAAAAAGTGGAAATCTAACAATTGTAAAAATGTGCGACGATCAGTGAGTGATTTGTTGGAGCACTGGAACGGGTAAATTCCATAATAAAAATAAAATGATCTAAGAGTTTGACCATCATTATAAATGAGACGGAGAAATGCATAAATACGATTTTGTTTGTCGACGTTTGCAAAAGCATACGAAATAGGTAGAAATAGCAAAACAAAGTAGGAATAGTAGTGCAAAAGAAGAAGAAAATAGAGAAAAATATTAACAAAGTGATCATTGATTTTGAAGGTTGAAGTGGCACTAGCAGTGACGCCCGATTTAAAGCGTTTATGATATAGCCGTGCATAATGTGTTAAGTTTAGAAATACCTTCTTGATTAAATCTCGCACAACCCAAATGTTTCTGAAAAAAATATATGTACAGATGAGACTTGTGGAGAAGAGGAGAACGAATGAAAATGGGTGTTAACTACTGCGACGCTATTCAATTTTCTCTATTCCTTTTTATATGTGAAACAGTTTGGGGCTGCAAAGGATAATTGAAAAAGGAGTTTGTGAAATGCGAATTAAAATCGTGAAATGATGCATACAATGTTGTTGAAGTGCTACAGAATTTCTGCATTGAGCAGATATATTAATTTGTGTCAAATATGAAAATTCTTAAATGATATTAAGCGATATATAAGTGTGTAAATATTATACATATGTATATAACTACTTACCTACATACCTAAAATATTAATACTTAAAAATTCTGTTAGTTGTGAAAAGGTGTGTAAATCAAAATCATTAATATAATACTTGGGTCGGCTTTAGAATAACGTCCCACGCTTTCGTGGATAAAATGGGTATGGGCGGATAGAGGAGATCCTCCAGATCAAGAATATATATAGATATAGCCGCGGGAAACTTATAGTTTTCGAGATATTTACGTTTAAAGTTGAAAATTTCAACTATTTAAAGTACTTATTTTTGCGATTTAAAATGAATTATACACTTATATTTTTCACTTTTATATCCACTAACACTTGACTAATTCGTTTTTACAAATTTTTATATTAAATGCTGCAAAATAGCTTTATTCAATATTTAAATCATTCTTCAATTTTATTAATTTGACAATAACAAAATGGTTGTGAATGTCAAAACATCAGTGTTGCCATACTAATATATTTTGTAAACGAAGAAAATAAAATAAACACAGAGATTGTGCCCTAGATACAGGAAAAAACGCAAAAGAATTTCTGCGCGTAAAAACTTTGGTACACCCCGGTGTTGGATCGACCAGGGTTATTTTTGAAGCGCGCCGAAGGCCGCCAACGCAAAAAGGAGTTCTGCGCAAAAACCTTGATACACCCCGGTGTTGGACCGACCAGGTTATTTTTGAAACGTGGCCGAAGGCCGCCAACGCAAAAGGAGTTCTGCGGAAAAACCTTGATACACCCCGGTGTTGGACCGACCAGGGTTATTTTAAAGCGCGGCCGAGGCCGCCAACGCAAAAAGAAGTTCTGCACGAAAAATATTTGATACACCCCGGTGTTGGATCGACCAGGGTTATTTTTGAAGCGCGGCCGAAGGCCGCCAACGCAAAAGGAGTTCTGCGCAAAAAACTTGATACACCGGTGTTGGACCGACCAGGGTTTTTTTAAATCGCGGCCGAGGCCGCCAACGCAAAAGAAGTTCTGCACGAAAAATATTTTGATACACCCCGGTGTTGGACCGACCAGGGTTATTTTTTTGGAGGCGGCGAAGGCCGCCAACGCAAAAAGAAGTTCTACAAGAAAAAGGATTATTGTCATAGAGGGTATAACATAATACTTAACATCAATGCTTTGTAATAGTTTTTTCTAGGTTTTGGATTCCTGCATTTGGGGTATTATCTGTTTTAATTTTTCAGTTCAATTACAAAAGATGTCGATAGGTAACACTGGTTATTTGAAATTTTGCAACCCTTTTTTATTGTCAGAGTTAATAGAATTTAACAATAATTTAATTATTAAATTAAACTATTTTTGCACTATATAATGTAAAAAACATGTGTACAAACGAATTAGTGAAGTGTTAGTGGATATAAAAGTGGAAAATATAAGTGTATAACTCATTCGAAATGGGAAAAATGCGTACTTTAAATAGTCGAAATTTTGAACTTTAAACCCAAATATCTCGAAAACTATAAGTTTCCCGCGGCTATATCTATATATATTCTTGATCTGGAGGATCTCCTCTATCCGCCCATACCCATTTAATCCCCTAAAGCGTGGGACGTTATACTAAAGTTTTCCCTAATACTTTAAACTAATATAAAAGATGCTTAACTAATCTTTGTGATGCCTCTTTATTTTTGCTGATATTGATAAATGTTATAATATCAACATTAATATTCATCTTAAATAAATAACAGATTTTACGTTTTTTTTTCCTTGAAAAATTGTTCTGATATTATATTTACACACCTATGTATACAAAATTTTAGCACCAACTGTTGGCGCTTACGTGAATGTGGAAGCAAATTTGTTTTCAACAGTTGCTAAAACTTGCAAATTTCCAGTGCAAGTATATACTAAATTTTGTTGATAAAATCGAAAACTTGAGTGACTGAAAATGCCGCCAGCAGCATTAATTGGTGTTGCGGAGTTTGTGGAGGAAACCCGCGATGATTATAATTCTCCAACGACATCCACATTTGCATCCAGAATGCCTGATTGTCGTCAAACTATGGCTGTATTAGAAGAGGTAAGAGATCTAAGTTATTGGAAATCAATGATTTTTATAAATACACTTAACTTGCTGACGAATCGACGAATTTGCTTCAATTGTCAATCAAATCATTTATCGTATATATATTTAAATATTATCAAAATAGTTTTATTGCTTTATTTAAAAATATAAAAGTTTTGTATAGAGAATTATTGACTTTTAAGAAATACTATATTGAGTAGCTATATACTCAGCACCTTTAATCAATTTCCGAATGTTCTCATGTTGATGAATCCCGGCACGTCATATATGTATATACATTATTTTAAATACGTAATATTCGAAAAATCTATGCATCTCCATTTATAAACAATATATATGCACCATAATTAATTGTTTGTTATCTTACATATATATGTATATTAGTATTTGTACCATATATACATACATACATATATGTTAGTTTAGTTAGTAAAAGTACATACACTAGGGTAGAATGACCTTTTAAAAGTGACACAACTTACGATTATCGCTTTTTAGTCCGGAAATTAGTGTACAAAGTAATATTTGCCTTATCGTTGATAAGTGCTGCTATTGATGTGAATAATAAAAAATATTTGTACTTTATTTTATCTCTTAAAAACTGTCCTATGAATATACTAGTAGGTATTATTCGACCACCTTAGTGTTTAGGCTTTTACACAAAATTCTTGCACGTTTATTATTGACATTAAACAAAATAGTTTTTTAGGTAGATTTTTTTATAAGCAGTGCTGGCATCCAGCATTGGGTCATAATAGAATTGGAAAGGTTTTTGCATGCCGTTTGAAGCTATTTGCGCAGTCGTAATTTCATATGTAGTACATATGCATAAGAATGTACCTACATCTGATTTCAACGTCATTGAAAATATTACTTACATACACACATACATTATGTATGTGAAGAACGTGAACTTCATTTGAAAGACATGCATATGTATATGTTCGTATGTATAATATAATACCTGATGGAGTTTTCCAACAATTTTTTGAAACTGACATTGTTGGAAAAGTATAGATCGGCAGAAACATCGATTACACTGGTCTACAGTGACTTTGTTGCCTTAGATATAAGATTGCTTGTGGATATACCATATTTGTGCCGCCAATTCATGAGACTAGCAATGATTGTGTAAGTTTTTTTTAAATCTTTATCTCAAAATAACACCAATATTTATAATATCAGTTTTGATTTGAAAATTAAGCGTACATTAAAGTAAACAGAGAAACAAATGTCGAAATCATATGTTATATCTCAATTAAACGTCTTTTATTTGCTTTTCTTTATAATATTCCAGATATTTCACCCTACTTTTCACTTTCTGTAATAATTTCTGGGAATTAAGGGCTTACATGGGTTTCGTCGAACAAAAAAGGCCCTGTTTTCAATAACTTTTTTTCATATAAAAAATGAAATATTTTATTCAAACTTTTTATTATTGCGAAGATAGATACATAAATAAATATATAAAGATTTTGTGAAATTTTCAAGGGAAAATATTCCAAACTCGGTCATTACGACGTCATTTTCGACAGTTCTTCGGAAAAAGGTGCTTCCGCGTTGACAGCAGAATTTCTAACAGGAGTCTCAAAAGTAAAAAATAGGTGGTATAATGGACAAAATACAAATATAGTGAAAACTCTATTTTTGGCTGACGTTTTTTCAAAAACTTGCAAGATTTGTTTAAAATTTCCCGACGTTTTTTGTTTTTTAAATAGTTATGTTTGAATAAAAAAAAAAACCTCCGCGGCAAGACCTTGTAAATTATATCTCAAAGACCTGTGTAAAATTTCATTAAGATCGGTAGACTAGTTCGTGAGAAATCTTAACCACCGACGTTGAAAATATGGTATCGAGAAAAACGCGTTAAAAGTTTTAAACGATTATATAGCTGACCTCGAGCGCGCAACTTTTCAAAGCTGTATCTCCAAAACTCTTACTGGTATCAATTTGAGAACTTAGTACAATATTCTATAGATGTTATAAAATTAAATAAGACAATACAACTTTTTTTTTGAAGCCGTAAAACCCAACTAACCCCATGATACGAGACTCTCATTTTCCCAAATTTTTTTCTTATTCTCTTTACCTGATTATGAAGATTAGGGAATATTG